CAGGGTTGGTAATACTTGCCTGCCCCAGGACCTGGTGAAGTGATATGAAAACACTGAGTCTGAGACAGTGAAAATTGCTGTTCAGTACATTTGCTTTCCAAGTGTTAGGGCTTTTGAAAACCTCTTCTCCCGATTCTTTGGGCGACTTCGCTGTGCAGGCGCTTCTGGAACCCTGCTGACACATGAAGCTCCCAGAGGGCAGGAATTGAATCTGAACAGGGAGAGGCAAAGGGAGATTCTTATCCAGGGAGGGCCAAGAGCATGCTTTGTGCCTAATGCAGAGGCCCCGTGGGACCAAACAGAGGTTGATTTATGTAATCTAGCTGTGTCAGATACCACAGCCGGCTAGATTGAGCCCTTTCTCTCTCTTCTGCCCCCGCCCTTTCTCTGTCTCTTTTTACTATTTGGCCTCTCCCAGATAAGAGGCTGAATCTATCACGTAAAGGACATCTCTTCACCTGGGCAGACTTCAGGCCTTCTTGGCCTTAGACAGGTGGGTTATCTTTCAGGTCTGCGTCTCGCTTATAGTTGGTCCCACGTGCGCAGGTTGAGAACCCACAGCGTGTCTTGCTGCCTCCCCACGACAAAGGATGAATGGCTAAACCTTCTGATGTAGTGCCTTGTTCACGGTGGGCATTTAAACACTTGTCCATGATAGCTGCCCCCTTGTTCTTTCCCTCCACTCTTGGGCCTGAAGTTTTGTGAGTGGGAGGGCTTTGGGGTAAGTGTTTCATCTCCTATTCCCAGGTCTCTCATCTTGGGGTCATTCCACTATGGTTTCTGGGAGCTCCCAGCCCATCTGGGAGAGCTGGGCCCTGTTCCAGGGGTTTGCCCTCGGCGATCGCAGATTGTATGCTGGGTGCCGGGCCAGGTGCCTGAGACTCAGAAGCCGACAGACTCTTTCCTGGTTCCCCTTTCCTTCTGCCTCCTTTGGAGGGACCAGTGCTCTCTGCTGTTTTGCTGTCTTTGTATCCTTCATCCTGTTTGGTAGAGGCTAATTTCCTTCCTCCACAATTTCTCTCTCTGGCCTCCTTTCAAGTCCTTTTTCTTTCCTTTCTCATCAGTCTCTTTTGTTTGACTTATTTTGTAGAAATATTTTTGTTTATTGTTGCTCCTTGTAATCAGGGTGTTCTTTGATTCTTGGTGTGTGGGAGCTTGTTTTCTATTTTGGGGTGTGCAGAGAGACCTAAGTGCCATATGCCAGGCTTGGCTTATGCCCTGGGACTTCTCAGGGTTTTGGGGGTCGGCTCCTAGCCCTCCCTAGCAATGTCCAGGCTTGCTGGGGTAGCTGACAGCACTCAGTCCTTGGCACTGTGCTGTACTCCTGAAGGCAATTGTGGTCACAAACTCCTTGGGATTGGAAAGTACCTCAGTGGTTTCCAAAAGCCAGTCTGTGGCCTGGCTGCTGCAGAGGCACCTGGGCAGGATCTACCTCTGGCACGGCCACCAGGGCAAGGCTCTGGTTTAATGGAAAGAGGTTAAAAAGCACTGAAGAATGTGCCAAATTATGAAGTGCTTTCTTGTAGGCTGTAGGATCGTGAGTGGCTTTTATATTCTACTCTGTGATTCTTTATATTTTATGATGTTTCTTCAACAAATATGTATTATTTTTATTATGTAAATATACAATAAATTTTCATTCTGACCTCCCTTACTTCCCTTTATTTTTTCGGCACTGGGGATAGAACCCGGGCCTCCATTTGTGCTAGGCAAATATTCTACCACTGAGCTATATTTCCAGCCCCTTTCTGATTTAAAAATACTTTCATTTTTTTAATTATGTGTGTGTGTGTGTGTGTGTGTGTGTGTGTGTGTTTGTTTGTGTCTATATGGGGTTATGTGCTTGTGGGTGTAGGTGTCTTTGGAGACCAGATTGTCAGATCTTCTGGAGCTGGAGTTACAGGTGGTTGTGAGCCACTGATGTGGGTGCTGGGAACCAAACTTGGGTCCCCTGCAAGAGCAGTATACACTCCTAACCACCGAGTTATCTAGCCTTTCTGCCACTTCTGGCTTTTAAACTCTTTTTCATGGAGCTTGTGCAGTAGGTAAATTCCTGGGCCCCTTTCATGGATGTTCTGACCCTGTTGGCATGGGTGGAACCCAAACACTCCGTCCTGTGACACAGTTGGATTTAGAAGTCATACACCTCGGGCTGGAGAGATGGCTCAGCAGCTGAGAGCACTGGCTGCTCTTCCAGAGGTCCTGAGTTTAAATTTTCGGCAACCACATGGTGGCTCACAACCATCTGTAACGGGATCTGACTTCCTGTTCTGCTGTATGTGAAAGCAGAGCATTCATGGGCATAAAATAAGTAAATAAATAAATCATTAAAAAAGAAGTCATACATTTAATATAACATTTATTTTCCTTACAAACAATTGTGAGATAGGCTCTCTGGTTCCTGATCTGAGGTTCTAAATCTCTCCCTTAGTGCTTTCTTTCTGGGTCATGAGCCCTGAAGACTCACCAAAGAGGCAAGGTGCTGGCGTTTTATCAAACGCTGGCCCATCTGCGCTCATGCCCCCATTCCTTGCAAGCCTTTAGTCATCCTATTTGACCACTCACCAGCTCACAGGTGCTTTTCTGACTCTAAACTCTGCCCAAAGATGGGACAAGGTTGTTGCCTTGCCTCGCCTCACTCCTAAAGAACCTACTGGCCCAGGAAGTTTCCTTTGTAGCAAATGACCTCCATTAGCAGAATCTGGAAGAAACCAGGGCGCATGGAGATGGGACCAGTGCAGGCTTTGTGTCATAGGATTATGATCCCTTCCCTTGGCCATTAAGCTATTTTGAGGTGATGTAGGAAAGGGAAGGACGGCAGGTCTTCTCTGCCGCAAAGAACGATGACTGAGGCGTCATGACTGTGCACAGTGGCCACAGGTAGGGATATTGCTCTGGGTACTAGCCAGTTCCTGCTGTTTGCTGCTTGCTAGCTATATGATGAGATGGTTATCTCATCTTTGATGGGTGTCATAATACAGATCCATTTCATAGGGTTTGGGGAGTGGATGGGTTTTATCATAAATAGGAGAATGCTTTTTATCCCATACTGTACCTTGAACCCCAAAATTCAGGGGATCTTGTTGAAAAATGCACATTCTGGGTCAGGGGGCGTTTCTAGTGAGCATCAGTGATGCCCAGGCTGCTGTCCTGGGGACTACACCTTAAAGAGCAGGAACGTAGATCCGATCAGTATGGAACCTCCTCAGTCTGTTTCTATTCTTGTTGCAAATCAGAGTTGTTATTGCTGCTCTGTTTCTTCAAACAGGTACCTTGAGGAGATTCACAATGCCAGCAGACCCACCTCTCCAGGGGCCTGTCTTTTCCTGGGGTCTCCTGTTGCACTCTTGACCTTTGCACCTGTTGTGGGCAGCAGGTGGGGAGGGACGGTGGTGGGAGGGAGTTCTCCCAGCTGCTGCAGCTTTGCAGCTGAAGTTCAGACTGCTCTACTGGAACCAGATTTTGTTAAGCCGGGTGTGTTTCCTCTTTTTTACTCATCTTTGTTTACAAAACACGAGGAAGCCATCAGTCTCCCCAACGCCTCTGCCAGGCTTCTCTGTGGCACACACCCCACTTCCCTTAACCTTCTTGGCAGGCACCGGACCTCCGAGTCACTAGCTTTTCCTCCACACTCCCCTTCACCATTGCTGTGGATGTGGGGTATTCCGTGTAAACCTCAGCTGGATGCTGTATTTCTCTTCGTGGCGGAAGGCAGAAGGCAGAAGGCAGCCTGCTCGGTTGCCTGGGGAAACCTGGGGCTGGATGGAACTTCAAAGTTTGAGGAGTCTAGGAAAGCTGGGAGTATGACCTACTTTTCTTACTGACTTACTCTCCTCTTCTCCCGAGTGAGTAGGGGTTGATGGGTGTAGATAAAGACTGCCTGAAAGAGGGCCCCCTGGACATCTCACATAAACGTGCTTGCTGGCCGGGCCACTGAAAGAATCCAAATCCAGCCTGTGCTGGCCTCCTCTCTGCACACTAGATTTTCATTCCCCTGTCCACCAAGAACCCCACGAAGAGGCCCCAGCCTGTCCTCCTCCCCTGGCAGACAAGGAGAGAACAAAGACTGCCTCTTTCAGTACTCCCTTGTCCCCCTCAGGCCTCTGCTGGCCACTGGGAAAAGCTACCTGTATAGACAGGACACCAGCCAGAAACCTTTGTGCCTCTGACCTCTGAACTTTGCCCCCTGGCTTCCCAGCCTGACAGTAGGACCCGGGATAACCTCCAGAGCTGGTGTGCATTCTTTGTTTTTGTTTTGTTTTCAAGTGTGTTCTTGCTTAACGTTTAATTGGCTCCAGTCAGTAGGAAAGCGCTCCAAGAGGGATTATTTATGGCTTACTGTCAAAAGCAGCTATAAAAAGGGCAGCCCAGAGCTGGGGATGCTGAAGGGGGGAGAGGGCGGGCTCTCTCACACAAGTGAGTGTGTGTGTGTGTGTGTGTGTGTGTGTGTGTGTGAGTGTGTGTGTTTGTACTGGATGAAATCAGATTTTTGCTGCCTCAGCAGTGTGGTTTAAATTGAAGATTAACCCTTTGACCTTCACAGTGTCAAATCGCTTGCAGATGGAGGCTCTCCCTCCCCTTCCCTCTCTTGTTCTCTATGTTCCTCTGGAATGGGGGAGAGGGAGGGAACTTCTTGTCTTTCTCGCTCAAGCAAGATTGTTGTTCATGCAGCTGAGGTTTGGGGAGGGGGGGTGGCCTCAGGAGCCAATCTGATTAAAAGCAGCACTTGGCTAAACTCTGGAAAAATCCTTCGAGCAGGGGAGAAAGTCTGGTCCTCCTGTGCACAGGCCACACAGCCCAGCCTGGTGTTTTTAATGCCCAAACTATAGTTGTCTCTGGAGTTTTGTCCCCCTGTCCTCCCCTCCCCCCCAACCCCTCATTGCTGGATGGCCCAACGATGTCAGCCTGAGATCCATCGATGGGAGCCTGTTTAAGAACCAATAAGGAGCCCTTGGTCTTAGCTGGTACCTGGCACCTAATGTCTTCTTTTGCCCTTGCAGCACCAGCAGAACCAAGACCGTGCATGGTGGCAGGTCTTCCTCTTCCTGCAAAACCTGGCCTTGAACAGAGAAGAGAACAGGGAAGGGGTAGGTCCCTGGTGAGGCCGGGCTGCCCTCCTCGGATGGAGCGCCAGGAATGCAGTCTGGGACCGGACAGACGTCTGGGAGGACAGATCCTGTCTTGTCAAGTTTTGTTACTTTTAGTTTTCCTTCTGTGTGTACATATGCCATACCCCAGCGGGATCTTTGTTCCCTCTTCAGAGCCTCCACTGGGAATGGGGGCCTTTGTCAAACACTGTCGATGGAGAGGCAGCTGTGCCTGCTGGTGGAGTTCCGAAGGCTCCGAAGATGACCAGTTGGTGAAGTTCTCCAGGAAGTGGACCTGGGCTTTTCTGCTGGAACTGGTTAAGTCAGGTTAGACTCCCAGGACCACCAAGTGTGTTAGTCTTCCCTCTAGCCTGATGGAAACATGGCTTTAACCCACCAGGACCTTGGCTGGGAGCTTCCTGGCTAAGAATAGCAGTGCCTTGGCTAGCCAGCTCTACGTCTGGGTTCGTACTTGGCACAGCCAGTGCCCACCACATGGGCTCAGGGATTCTTACCAGACCCTGTCACCTCCAGAAGACCTCAGGGAGGGTTGGACTTCTCCAAGAACCCCTCAAAGGTGCCACAAAATGAATCAAGCTTGATAGGCCTCAAGTCTGACTTGGTCCCACATGGAAGCCCCTTGATTGATCCCAAGGTGCAAACTACTGCCTGGGGTGTCAACGGTGTGTGAGCCAAGTAGCCAGCCATCATCGCTTTGTACCCAGCAAGCAGCCTGTGCCTTTGTCAGCTCTGTTTTCAAAAGACCCTGCCAACGACTGGACTGGATTGGACTTTGTCCATCTCGACAGCAGCGCTTGGAGATGGGGTGGGTTTGCTGGGGGCGTGGGAATGAAGCAGCCACCCCACTGATAAGTCTGTCCCAAGGGAATCCTAGACCTCTTGGTTTCCTTGGAAATGTGTACCTCCTCCCCCTTATTCCCGTTCCTTTTCTGTACCTAGTGGGATACAGGAAGAAGCCAGGACAGTGGCTTTGTCAGCTGAAAAGTGACTTTTGAAGTAACAGTGTTTAGAACATGGAACCGGCAGAGCTGGGTACACGTTTCCCATCTTCCTTTAGCTTTCAGCGAGGCCAGAAGGGAGAGTGCTAGAACCCAGCAGGACCTCAGCTGCCTCTGAACTTCTTCCTTCTCTCCCTGCCGAAACACTCAGGGAGGGAACGTGAAGCAGCCGATCTTAGTCACCCTGTGTCTCCTCACACGACACCTAGAACTTAAACCATGATGTTTATATATGTAAGGAAAGACATTGGTGCTAAAATGAAGATGAGGCAAGACCCAAAGAAAAGATGGCTTCCCCATGCAAAGAAGACCCCAGGCTTATTCAAGGAATTTGGAGGAGGAACTCAGAGTAGACTCAAATTGAACAAGCCGATTGACTCCCGTTTCTGTAGAGAAGGGGGTCTTAGGTACCGTAGAGGGGCAGCTGGTCTCCTGGTGTACGGTTGGGAAGGCTTCCCACTGCACAAGGCTACCTATAGATGGGGCTCAAGGAGACTGAAGTCCAGCCTGAGCTCTGCTCTTCAGGCTGCATGTCCTGAGGTGGGGATCTGTTCAGCATTAGTGATGTCTTTCCTAATTTGCACAGAGGTACTGTATGTGCTCTCAGTGGTCCCGAGGAGGACTCCAAAGCATGTGTATAAGCCTTTGTGTTTTCCTGCTCAGATGACTGGGAGATAATTTACCTCTTCTTGGCCACAATCATTTTCTCAGGGTGTATACTACGGTCCGTCTGCTAAGAAAGTGGATTACTGTTTGCAAGGAGAGGAGACCCAACTAATGAATACAAAGACTGGTTCTGGGGCACACGAGCCACCGTGAAGCCTAGGCTTCCTACATCTCCCCCATGCAGTTTAGGTGCGTGTGGGACACATGTGGTCTTTCCCCTTTCCCTGAATTAAGGCTATGACAGGCAGGCTTCTGGTATGTGCTTGGTACATGTGCGTTCCCCCATACATACATCTTTAACGTGTCTTAGCAGACTTTCCGTCTGTGCTAAGGCACAGCCGTCAGCTTCAGAGACCTGGGCTGGTACAGGCTGGGTGCCCTGTGGCCTGTCCTGACAACTGAGCCCAGAGTTTGACCTGAACATTGAGCCTGGGGCCAGGTAGAAGCTGGTCAGAATGCACTGTTTCCACTTTGGTCCAAGCCAGGACCAAACTCACTATTTTGGACAAGCCAGGGTGAAATTTAAACCCATTTTTATCTGCCTCCGACCTGAGTCCAGGCTTGAGTTGAAGCTCAATGGAAGAGTGCTTGCCTAGCAGTCAAGAGACCCTTAGATGGATCCCCAGGACTGTAAAATAGAAATAAATAAAAATGCCTGCCTCCCCGCAAGCTCTAGGAGGTAGCTGGCAACCCAGCTCAAGGTTCCCCCTGGCTGGTTGCTTTAATTGGCCAGTGATCTCCGCCTGGTGAATTGGGTTTCGAGTCTCCCAGTCCAGCCCCTCCCCATCTCCAGGAGCCTGGCTGTCTCTAGTGAGGAGTAGAGCTTCAGATTTAGAGGGAGGGCAGTCTGACCTGTGTGCTGACCTGTAACTGGCTGAAGGCAGCGGGCTTTTGTGGTATGCTGAAGACGGTGGTGGGAAAGGGGCTGGAGAAAACTCAGTGTAGAAGTGCCCTGGAGGGACAGAAGCCCCCCGTTCGTTAGGGGGCCAAACTGCTCTCCTGATTCACAATTCCCCAGGAGGCGTTTCTAGAAGCCAGAGAACAGATCTGGAGGGGAGCATCCCCCCCGCCCAGCCACTGACTCCCCCAGGGAGGCTGGGGTGGCGTGCACTCTGCCTGGCCCCGTCTCTCTGTTTCAAAGTCTGGCTGAGCTGTTCGGTTGTCCCCAGTGGCCTTGTCTTGCTCAATCAGAGGTGGAAAAAGATCACCTCCCGGTGACCTCCCTCAGGCCCCAGGGGATGGGCTGTGTCCAGAGCTATGCAGCAGAGCTTGTTTCCAGGGCCTAGGGAGGCCCAGCTGGCCTGCCTTGCTGCCCCTGCCACAAAACCCAAGCCCAACCCTGAGCATGGCGGAGAGTGGGTGTTGGGGACAGTCTAGCCAGGGCCCCTGTCTGCCCCAAGCTTTTCAGGAACTGAACAGTGAAGTCACTGTGACTGTCCTAGTCAGTGAGGAAGACAGTATTCTGACCTTCCTTCCTGGGGACCGGATAGGGAGTTGGGCACAGGTGCACAGAGCAGCAAAATACATAATACTTCATTGGCTCTGGGGGAGTCAGTACTGTGGCCACCAACCCTGGTGGGAAAAACTGTGGCTCTATGAAGATGAGGAACTCTGGAGGCAGGCTACCCTGGCCTGATGCCCTGGTAGGACAGGGTGGACCCACGGATGTTCAAAGTTTCCTGGGATTCCCATGGGCTGCAGGCCTAGGGGACAGAGCCTCGAGGGAGCAGCAGAAAAGAGCTGGGCTCTTCCATATATGCCTAGCTTTGGCCAAGGTGCTATGAGGTATGTGGCTGGAGGCTTGCACTGCCCCTCTCTCTACAGGCATCGGATGGTCCACCCCATCTCTGGGTCCACAGGAGCTGACGGGGCGGGGGGAGCCAGTGAGATGTAGCATTTCCTTCATCCCCACTTTGGTTGGCCTGGGGTCTGGCCATTCTGCCTTAAGGAGAGGACGGGGACCATTATTTTTATCTTGTATATAATATTTTGCCCTTTTGTTCTTTACATGTATACATGTGTAAATATCCTCTCCCTCATCAACTGGTACAATTTTTAATAAAACCACTTAAAGCAAATCTGTTCTTTATTTTTCTACAAAGGGAGAACATCAAACACTCTTCGAGTGTTTTCCCCTGACATCCCCGAGTTACCATGGAGGTGCTGGCCTCTTAACACTGCCTTTCTCTTCTTGGAGTTGGAAAGAGCTGTCTGGCTGCATAGTTGCAGGGCAATAGACACCCAGTGCCACGGGGTAGAGGGGGCTTTGGAGGGGTCAGCCTGGGTTTGAGTCTAGGCTCTGGCCTCCACCTGCTCAATGACCTTGACAAGTGATAGCACCTCTGCCTTCCCTTACTCCCTGGCTCTGGCCTGCCTTGAAGCATTAAAGGAAATTTGCCACAGGCCCTAGCCCTGCCACCTCTGGCACCCAGCAGTGGCAGCTGCTGTGGTGGAGATGAGCCTCCTGCCCTTCTACACACAACCCATCTCCCCTGGCAAGCCAAAGCTCTGGTTTCTTTTACCAAGCAACGAGGAAGCACAGGCCTATGATACCAGCCGCTTGGGAAACTGAGCAAGGAGGGTCACAAATTCAAGGCTAGCCTGGGCTATAGAGAGAGTTCAAGACCTTGTCATTAAAAGGAAAGGACTGGAGATGTTACTTGATGGGAGAGCACTCTCTTTCTCCTTCCTTCCTTCCTTCCTTCCTTCCTTCCTTCCTTCCTTCCTTCCTTCCTTCCTTCCTTTCTTTCTTTCTTTCTTTCTTTCTTTCTTTCTTTCTGTCTCTCTTTCTTGAGACAGGGTTTCTCTGTGGAGCCCTTGCTGCCCTGGAACTCATTCTGCAGATGAGGCTGGCCTGAAACAGACTTCACCTGCCTCTGCCCCCTGAGTGCTGGAACCAAAGGTGTGCGCCACCAGCCAGCATCACCTTTCTTCTCTCCCAGGTCATTAACCAATCAGAGATAACTGGGGAGCAGTGTTTACACAGCATTAATCAATGATCAGCATCCAAATACACAGTGCACCAGACCAACCCCCCAAAAGATTTATTCATTTTTACGCACATTGGTGTTTTGCCAACATGTATGTCTGTGAAGGTGCCAGATCCCCTGGAACTGGAGTTACAGACAGTTGTGAGCTGCCATGTGGGTGCTGGGAATTGAACCCCGGGTCCACTGGAAGAGCAAACAGTGCTCTTAACCACTGAGCCATCTCTCCAGTCTCCCCACGCTCCTTCACCCCAGATGTGGATCTTAAGGACCCATTCAAAAGGCCAGGAGCAGAGGAACTCTTTAAAGACAGCAACAGGAAGATCCCAGGAAGATCCCAGGGGCTTGCCTGGCAAGCCACTAGTAAATGAATTCATGACTCCAGGTTCAATGACTGATCCTGTCTCAAAAATTAGATTAAAAACGTAGGGGCTGGAGAGATGGCTCATGGAGCCGTGAAGAGATGGGGTTAAGAGCGCTTGCTGCTTCGGTGCACGTCTGTAATCCCAGCAGAGACAGAGGCAGGCAGATCTTCATGAGTTCCAGGCCAGCCTGGTCTACAGAGTCAGTTTCAGAACAGCCAGGGCTACACAGAGAAACTGTCTCGCAAAACAAAACAGAAAAAAAAAAAAAAGAGTGTTTGCTGCTTTTTTAGAGGACCCGAGTTCAGTTCCTAGGACCCACATTGGGTAACTGACGAGTGACTGTGGTTCTAGCTTCAGAGGGATCCAATGCCCTTAGTCTCCACAGGCACCCACACTCATGCCCACACGGAAACAGTAACTAAAAATCGAACTGCGTCTTTAAATATATATGGTATAGAGTAATAGAGGACACCTCAGCTCTGACCTCCAGCCTGCACGTGTGCCTCCCCTTTATCATGCATACACGCTTCCACCACGCGTACAAAGTTGTTTGAAAAGAGAGAAGGGAAGCTAGACTTGGTAGCATACAGCTTTAATCTCCAGTACTTGGGAGCCAGAAGCCAGCCCTGGCCTACACGGAGAGCGCTAGGCTAGCCAAAGCTACATATTTATTTATAAAACAATTGTAATATATAATAATAGAAATTCATTAAATAATCAATTAAATGTAGCCTTTCAGGAGTCATGTGCTAGGTACTTAGGGATTTCCTGGTTGGCTTTTTTCTTATGTATGTGTGGGGCCCTAAAAGTGATTCCCAGCTCGTCGAAGAACTCTGTAAGTCCTTAGGGAAAGCCTGCTTCCGGTCACTGTGCTTGCTGTGTGAGCAGACCAGCTGGCCTCACCTGTTCCATGCTTCTGTGAAGACATCAGCTCTCCATAGATCTCCTCCTCTGTAGACCGGGACCGTCTTTGTTTTACAGATCAGTAAACTGAGGCCCACATGGGCACTGGACTTTTCTAGGTGGGCTGTTTATTTATTTATTTATTTAATAAGGTTGTTTTTCTTTTCTTTTCTTTTCTTTTTTTTGAGACAGGGTTTCTTTGTGTAGCCCTGGCTGTCCTGGAACCAGGACTAGGCCAGGCTAGCCTTGAACTCACAGAGATCTGCCTGCCTCTGCCTCTCAAGTGCTGGCATGAGAGGCGTGTGCCACCACCGCCTGGCCCTGTGTCGGCTCTTCAAGTAGCTGAGTCAGGCCGGATGTGTGTGAGTGTCTTACTCTGTGTTTCCACTTGAAAATCACATTGCTAATGCCCAGCTATTTGAGGAAGCCAAAACCTGTCTATTTTTAACGCCGAATAACTGCCTCTTCTGTAAAACATGCCACTTCTCACCACGCTATATTTGAACAGTGAGGTTTATTTTTACTGGAGTGTGGTGGAAACGGGGCTTGTTCCCATGTCCAGATGTTAGGCTACGCGTCATAGGCTAAGTTGTAGTTGAGTCCACCAAGCAGCCCTATGACCAGCAGGTGCCTAGTGATAGTGATGGCTTCATTTTTAAATAATTAAAAAAAAAATTGTTTATTTTTGGTTTTTGTGAGACAAAATGTTTCAGTATAGGTCTGGCTGGCCTCAAACTCATGCTAATCTTTCTGCCTCAACCTCCCAAGTTTTGGGGTTATATGCTGGGGTTGTTTATTTATTTAATTTGAAACAGGGTCTCACTATGTAGGCCTGGCTGGCCCAGAATTCTCTCTGTAAACCAGGTTGTCCTTGAACTTACAAAAGATCTGCCTGCATCTGCCTTCCGTGTGCTGGAATTATTGGTGATTGCCACCATGCCCGGCCTTTTACTTTCTGTCTTGCAAGTCATCTTAACCCTACTTTTTTTTCTTTTTCTTCTTTGGTTTTTCAAGACAGGGTTTCTGTGTATAGTAGCCATGGCTGTCCTGGACTCCCTTTGTTAGACCAGGCTGGCCTCAAACTCACAGAGATCCGCCTCTGCCTCCCGAGTGCCGGGATCACAGGTGTGTGCCACCACACCCAGCTGACCCTCCTTTTTTAAAATTTGTTTTCATTTTTTAACTTTTTATTGATTCGTTGTGAATTTCACACCACACACCCCAACCCCACTCATCTCCCCATCCCTTCATAGCCTCTCTCTGCCCTTGCCACCTCCACACTTAAAACAACAACAACAACAACAAAAAACCCCAATAAAAAATATCTCATCATGGAAGCTGTAGCATGTCAGGGTGCGTCCCAGAGTACACCCTTTTGCCCACACAGCTTTACTTGCAAACGTTCATTGCAGTGAGTCATCGGTCTGGTTCTAGGCCTCTGGCTTCTGCTACACCATCAATGCTGGATCCTTCCGGGGACTCCTCTCCCACAGCCTGTTGTTTTCCTGTGTCATGGAGACCCTGCAGCTTTGGACCTGCAGGACCAGCCCCTTCACACACTCCGGCAGCTTATAGATGGGGTAGATGTTGCGGTGGCCTGGATCTCGGCCTGGGCAGAAGCTGAGTTGGTCAGCCCGCCAAGCTCTTCTGCACCCCACGCCACCAGTGAGCTCTCCAACACTGCCCCGTTGCTAGGTCACTCAATGCGGCGGCAAGGGGCAGGGCCAAGTCTCCAGCTCTCCTGTCCTGGGGCCAGCTCTCCTCTTTGAGGGGCAAAAGGTGGGGGGGCATCTTGCCCACACCACCACCAGGCAGACGAGTGGCTGGGCCATGCCCCTACTTTTTGTAGCAACTGAGGGAGGGCTCACCCTTGTCCCACTCTATTCCTTTTAAAAACACGATCTATCTGGGGGAAGCACAGTGCAAACTTTAGGAAACCAAGAGTTCTAGGAGAGCCAGGGCTACATATACTGAGAAACCCTGTCTCGGGGATTTTTAAGAACGATTGTAGCTGGGTGTGGTGGGGCACCCCTTTAATCCCAGCACTTTCAAGGCAGAGGCAGGCAGATGTCTGTGTTGGAGGTGAACCTGGTCCACAAAGTGAGTCCGGGACAGCCAGAGCTCTGTTACACAGAGAAACCTCATTCTCAAAACAACAACAACAACAACAAAAGAACTAGTACACACCGTTTCCCCCCCCCCCCAAGATTTATTTATCATTTATACAATGTTCTGTTTGAGTGTACACCTGTACACCAGAAGAGGGCACCAGATCTCACTATAGATAGTTGTGAGCCACCATGTGGTTGCTGGGAACTGAACTCATGACCTCTGGAAGAGCAGTCAGTACTATTTGCCTAGGAGCCAATTCTCCAACCCAGTACATGCCTTTAATACCAGCACTCAGGGAGGCAGAAGCAGTTGGATTGCTGAGAGTTTGAGGTCAGACTGGTCCAGAAAGCAAGGCGAGTTCAGTATAGCCTCAGCAGAGAAACCCTGTCTTGAAAAGGAAAATCAATCAATCGATCAATCAATCAATCAATCAATCAGAGGCTTAGAGTTCAGTTCCTAGGACCCACGTGAAGAGGCTCTCAACTGCTTGCATCTCTGGCTCCAGGGAATTCAGTGCCCTCCCCTACGTCCACATACAAGGCATACCCACACACTGATACATATAACCATACACACAAATAAATAAAAATAACTGGGTGTGATGGTGCACGCCTTTACGTCCAAGAACCAGAGAGTCAGAGGCAGTGAGATCACTGTGAGTTCAAGGTCAGCCTGGTCTACAGAGTGAGACCCAGTCTCTAAACAAACAAA